TGGTTTTGTAACAATGAAGCTCCACAACTGCTGTAGTACTGTAGTACAAGAATTTTGTTTTTGTAGTGATTAGGCCCTGAGACTGCACAAGGACCTTGGTAATTAGGCCCCATGGCTGCGGTAGTAGTATAACACCTGGTTTTTTGTAGCAATTAGACAGCAATAGCAGTACAAGAACCTTGGCAGTTAGGCTTCGCAAAGACCTTGTCATAAGCTTCATGGGTGCATAGAACTTCGCTAAATGCATTGCATGTAGTAGTGCATGGACCTTTGATAAATGTGTTGCAAGCTCCGTGGCTGAAATAACAGTGCTGTGTATTTAAAAAACCCAGTTTACTTTTAGTCACCATAACTCAATCCTGTATATACCTGAGTACTCACATGCATATGCATAACTTTACTGATACCAATCGTACTGGTCCTGCGCGGTACCACGTACTGCGTAGCTATTTTATATTATATAAGTTATTTATTTAACTTTTTTTTGACCTTTAGTTTTTATTAGTCTTTCTTTTTTTCAATCTTTTAGCTTCTTTTGTAGTGCTTATATAATTTTAATAGATCTTTCTACTTCTTTTATTATTCTAGTAATTATGGTTTTGGCTTTAATTGATCTTTTTTGTGATATATATTTCTTTTTTTTTGTTTTTTTTTTCTTTATATTTGGTTCTTATTGATTTTTCTTTTTTTCAATTGTAGTAAATCTTTTGGCTTCTCTTGTAGTCTTTGCATAATTCTAATAAACTTTTCTATTGCTTTTATTCTTCTAACAATTATGGGTTTGGCTTCCTTTAACTTTCTTTGTAGTATATTGTTGTATATGAGATTTGAATAAGTGTGAATTTGAAACTGAGCTGCTTCAAACCAAAATTTGATTTTGAGATACGTCAAATCGATTTATCTATTGTGCATCAAACTAAAATAGATATTATATATAAAATTCATCATACGATGATTAAAAGCATATAATTCAAATATATAGTTGCAAAATACAAATATTGCATATATTATACACTGCATATCTATATTTACTACATATATTTAATCTAGACTAGAATTTTATTGTTGCACATTTTTCCACTATGATATTTGCTTTCACACCCAACTTCTAATTTTTTACAATAGCATTTATTAGTATCACAATTGCTTTTACACTTGCACATAGTTCCTGTATAAACACCACTATTATTTTGATTTTATGCAGCTTCTCTAACAGATATATGATCTGTTAAAATATTATCCAACTCTGGGTATTTCTTCACACCAAATGGTTCTAATTCACCTGTACAATATAAATTATTTAATATGCCACTTTTGCATCCAAGATGATATTTGAATGTTTTGTTATAATTCAACTTATCTAAAATTTTGTATGAAAGTACAGGTCGATCTGTACCAAATTGATCGATTTTGAGTATAAGAATTTTTATATACTCTTCAATTTCATACTCTAGCTTCCGTTTGGATTTTGCAATTATTGCAGAGACCATTTTTGCTATATAAATCTCTAAATTTTGCTGAGCAAATTTTCATAATTCTTGATGTCCTGTTAATTGTTGATCTGTTAAATTTGTAATGGTTGAGACATAAAGTGCTAGAAAGAAGTATTAATCTAATTAATATTAAATTAAAATTTATTTATAATAAATAAAAATAAATTATAATAAAATTATATATAGCGATAATAAAATTATAATTGCATACGTACTATTTCTAGATTCTGATTTAAACTAGATTCAATTACGGGCATATTATTGTAATTATAATTATCTATTAAAGTTGGATTATCATTTTTCAAACTTGGATATGAAGATTCTAATATGGGTATAGTGTCATCAGTATTAGTACTTTTATCCAAATTTGAATCTTGATTTGAAGGCTCGATTGTAGATAAAGTATCAAGAATCAAATCATCTAAGTCATAAATTGATTCTTAAATATTTTCCTGATTAAATTCATCTGGAAATTCATCTTTACAAGAAATATTATTTTTAAATAATTGATCAATAATTACAGAATCTCTATATGAAATTCTGTCAAATACAAGCGTATAAGGCTTTTATTATGTACCCTGCAGATCGAATTATTTATTGCATAAACTACAAATCATAATCTGAATGACCAATCCTGCTACTTATTATCTTACATCTACTTTCCTAATTTAGTTTCAAGAACTCCATTTACTCGTTTAACTAAACTTTGGCTAGCAGGATGACATGGCCTTCCATTAATTATTTGAATCATAAGCCACAAATAAACTAGTTCAGTAATTATTGAAGAAATGAACTCCTGTTTATTATTCGATTAAAGAATTAATAGGGCCCAAATATTGTAAAAATATCAAATAAAAAAGTGGCTACTTCTACTAAACATTTTGAAGTAAATACACGTGCCTATGAGTATCTGGTAAAGTGATCACGAATATGGGCAATATATTTAAACTCATTATCTTGCTGAAAAGTTATATCAACTAAATCAATCTACATATTAACCATTAAATACAATATTATATTAATAAAATGTATACCAATATTATTATATAAAATTAATATATAATATGAAATATATTTACCTGTAAACGTAATATGAACTTTCGTTCAATAATAGATATTCTGGCTAATAGCAAAATTTTTGTAAGTCTTGTTGCACATACATTGTATTATGATACAAAATATTCAACAAGATCTTGCCAACAATAGCTCCATTTACTACTAATTTGGTTCTAGGTCTCTTTTTGACCCCATGTTGAGTTACTATAGCGTATATTTTGCAAAATTTATCATACATAGTTTTTACTACCAATACGAGAAGTTCAATTTCAATCTTTTCATTATTTTTTTGTTTGTGTACGAGTATAAAGTACAATATAAGAGTCAGATAAAATTTTTTGTAATTTAAATTTATTTTTGACCTAGTAACAGAATGCAGAAGTATATAATTTAGTATTTGTAGGATCAAGAAGAACTTCCTTGATTTGTTGCAATTTTTTTTTATTTATTAAGGCCTTTTCTTTTTTGTTTGGTGCTAAATTATTAATATATTTTTTAACTAAATCGTCAAAAGCTTGTCATAAGATAAATAAATATTTCATAGTATTTAATTTGGTCAAAATACAAAGAGAAATCAAAGAGATTTATCAATATAGTTTTTATTAATAATTTTACTTTGATATATACTATAATATATTACATATTTAAGTATGATATATAAATAATCAACTGATTTGACATATTTCAAAGTCAAATTTTAACTTTACGCAACTCAATTTTAATTCTATGTCTATTCGAATCTAAGGTATAACATATATATATATATTTTTTTTATATTTTTTATTTTTGGTTCTTACTGATTTTTCTTTTTTTTAATTATAGTAGATTTTTGCTATTCTTGTGGTTTTTGCATAATTTTAATAGATCTTTTTACTTCTTTTATTCTTCTAATAATTATAGTTTTGGCTTTTTTTGACTTTCTTTGTAATATGTATATTTTTTTTGTTTTTTTTTTTATTTTGGCTTTTTACTAATTTTTCTTTTTTTAATTGTAGTAGATCTTTTGACTTTTCTTGTAGTTTTTGTATAATTCTAATAGATCTTTCTATTTTTTTATTCTTTTAACAATTATAGTTTTTTTAGTTTTTGTATAATTTTTTCTGGCTTCTCTTGACCTTTCTATAGTATGTATATTTTTTTATTTTTGATTCTTACTGATCTCTCTTTTTTGATTGTAGTAGATCTTTTGGCTTCTTTTATGATTTTTGTATAATTATTCAATTATAATAAAACTTTTTGCTTCTTTATTTTTTTAGAATTGTAGTTTTTTTAGCTTTTGTATATTTTTTTTTGCTTTCTTTAACTTTCTTGTAGTATATATATATTTTTTCTTTATTTTTGGTTCTTACTGATTTTTTTTTTTTTTGATTATAGTAGATCTTTTAGCTTTTCTTGTGATCTTTTATACAATTGTGCAATTTTAATAAATTTTTTTCTTCTTTTATTCTTCTGGTGATTATAGTCTTTTTTTAGCCTTTGTATAGTTAATTTTTTTAAGTTTCAAATCAATATATATTGTAATAGAATTCTAAATAAATTCACTTAAAAAATTCAATTGTTATTTGAATATTGCCAAGAAAAACCTGTTATTAAACTTTTAATTATATTTTGTATTAAATATAATTTCTAACAAATTAGATAGATTGTTTTAAATACAAAATAAATTGAAAGCCTGATAATAGTTTTTTTTTGATACATTTATTTGGTAAATAGATTTAAAATAATTTTATTTGATGAATTGGTATATCAGCAAATATATAAACATAATCTTATAAAAGTTATTATATCACAAAAAATTCTGCAATAATTATGATCAATGTGAAATATTACACAATTTTTAATTACAGAATATTATAAAATATATTACAAAATATTACAAAATATATTATGAAATATTACAATGAATATTTCGAAATATTTTAAAAAGTTTTTAAATTAATTTGAAATAAATTAAAATACTAAAAAAATTTTCATGTAACTTATTGCAATAACCAAATTTTATAGAATATATGAAATAGTAATTTGTCAAATTTTTTAATAAATTTTAAAAATTTAGTTTTGAATCATTTCAAAAAAATTAAATATCTAAAACATAATATATTTGTATAATGATTTTTATTCAATAACTTACAATATTTTGAAATATTTTAAATTTTACTAAATTTATTATCCAAATATCAAATTATTCCAATAAATAATTACTATAATTTTTATAGCTTAATTCTATTTTTTTTAATAAATATTATTTTATTTTATTTAAAATTTTTAAATATTACATATAAAAAAAGCTAAATTATTGATAATCCTATATTAAGGAAATATATAAAAAATAAAAGAAAAAACTACAGTATTATTTATAAATAAAAAAAAAACGAACCAAAAAACTTTTACTCATCATTATTTGTATCTTTCTCATCTTCATCTGTATCTTTCTTTTTATCATCATCATTACCTGAGAATGAAAAACTGGAAGATGATAGGGATTTAGAATCATTATCTTTCAGTTCTTTTTTACCTTCTTCAGTATCTTCTTCTGGATCTAATTGCACTAATTATTTAATATTATTTAGATATTTCAAAATGTTTCAAATTATTTGAATAATTTTTAATTTTTGATACTCTTATTACTTACCAACTCTTGGCCTTTTATTTGTCTAAATAATTAATAAATATTAAATTATATACTTCTGCATTCTGTTACTAGGTCAAAAATAAATTTAAATTACAAAAAATTTTATCTGACTCTTATA